TTACAATGACTATTTCATGGGATACAGTACAATATACATGCATATGTCCTATGATGTGTTTTTTACTATGATAAGAGTTTGTGTGTGTCACCATGAATTCAGACTTTCTATGACTGTGCTGTTCAGCTATAACATAAAAGTAAGCATCTACATTCAAGTTGAATTTACAGCCTTTGGTTGGAAGAACAGTATTAAAGGGAACATATTACACCTATTTTGAAAAGCCTATTAAGTGTCAAATGAAATGTGGCAGTCCTTATCACCCTTTTAGGCTTCTCATGAGCTAGCAGGAAAGTTCTAGCAATGTCAAATACAATGGCAATCCAGAATTTCCCTTTCATTGCTGAGATGGGCTAACATGTGTTTATGGATTGAGCTTGCCTACAAGGAGATCTGGCCTTATGTTAAAAATAGATACATTTAGAACCAGAGGTTGGGAGCAAAGAAGATTCAAGCCAACTCAGGTATTGTGTCCTTTACCTTTATGGCTTTCTGAATGTGGTCTGACTGTCTGAAACTTACAGACTAAGAGCAGTATACAACCAAGAGTCATTTGTTTTATGCATACATAACTCCCCAGATCCAACTCCCAATTGAGTTGGTATCAATGGAATCTCTAGCTAGAGAAGAGGAAGCTAAATTTTTTTCTAAATCCTTCCCTTCTAAACGAAAAACATATGCTCATAATACTCTATCAAAAGAAGAAGAAGAAGATAAAGGAAAAAGGGAAGCAAGATTAATCTTGAGTTGGTAATTCTTGAAACTGAGTTAAAGATACATGGGGGTACATTATACAATTCTTACTGCTCTAATTTTGTTTATGCTAAAAATAACTTTCCACAAATCTGCCACCAAACAGAACTATTCAGATGCAGACTCAACAGGATGGAGCAGTTATTGGGACCCTTTGCAAATGGACTTGCCTGCCTGTCGACACTTTAGGTACTGTACAGTTGGCCAACTAAAATGCTAACCAAGGTGTAATGCACCTGGCCTGCAATTTTCTACCTCTGTGCCTTTGCCCATTATATTTTCCTTTGCTTGAATTATCCCTTCCCTCACATGCCAGGTGGAGCTATAAAAGTCTAACTCCTATAAAGCCTAGGGCAAAGGTATCCTCCTTTTGATCTTCAATGGCTGCATAAAGAAATAATCTCATTCTGCTTTTTATACCAGAACTTTGCTCACTAAGTAGTAACATTCACAATCATAAGAAGAATAACTGCAGTTAATCTGGACTGACTATGTTAATCTGGCTTGCTATGTGTCAAGTGCTTTAAATATGTCATCATTTTCAATCCTTACAATATCTTCTAAAGTTACTGCCTTTTCTTATCACATATTTTACAGATGAAGATCGGAAGCTCAGAGAGGAGAGATCCAATAGGTCAACTATAAATCCAATGTGTTCTCAGATCAGATAGATCATGAAAATTTTGAAGACTTTTTATGCTTCTCAGTTATGAAGTCTAAGTTGGGCAAACTTTTGACCTTTTCACCTGAGAACTCACATAAGGATTACTACCATGCTGCATATACTTGCTCTTTCTACTAAATTATAAGCTCCTCAAGAAAGTGAGTATCTCTTTTTTCTATCTCATGTCTCCATCTGCATTGTTTAATACAGCCTTATGTATAGAAGATGCCTGGGAAAGTGTTATTAACTGAATACCTCATTAATACAGACATTCCCACAGCTGAAGGAGTATAGCAAGTCTTCTAATTCCACCTGCCTGCCTGCACAAAGAAGTGAGGTAGAAAATGGCCCACAGAACAGCCAAAGCTCTCTCCTCCCCATCATCTGTTTACAAGGCCACAAAACAAAAATAGTTTTCATCTTCTCCTTATACTGGCATTGTAAATGACCAGAAAGAATTCTTTTCTGTGCTATTTTTATTTAGTCTCCCAGCTGCGGGCTCCCTCCCACTCTCTCTGCAAAACACTTACCCTTATCAGCCCCAGGAAAAGCCATAGGGATTTGGGGCAATGACTTGGGAATCTGAAACTGAGAGCAAACTGATTTTCTCTTCTTTTATTTCTTTCAGGATTTCCTAGTCCTGGTTTCTCTTGAGCTGAATAATATTACACTAGATGCTGGTATTCTGTGCTTCTAGTCTGGCCTTCCTCCCCAACACAGGTATTTTCTAGATGGGGTCTAAGAAAATGTGGGAAGTAGGCTCAGTGGTGTTTATTTTCTTCTCCCAAACCTCTCAACATCCCTCTTCTTTTAGCTGTAGGTCTTTTCCCTCCAAGGACCCATCTTATGCCCTATTTCTATAAGGACTTACCCTTACCAAACTTTCAAGAATTGAAAATGAACTGGCTGATGAAAAGATGTGAACTCAAAATGGGCTTAAGGACCTCCTTTCTCTCTAGCTCCTAATCCAATCCCACTTACTATGAACAATTTGTTGAGGGAAATAACAATAAAATAACAATAAAAAGATTAACAATGGAGCTAGTACAATTTCTAACTAAGGAGTCTTGGCCATCAAGCTAGATATCTTGTCATCTGTGTTGTAGATTAAGTGTAAAGGCAAATATTACAGTTTGGGATAGCTTACAAGAAATCTACAGTTGCATGGCAGATTTTCCTATCAGTCAAGGCTTTTTTTGTGGGTACTTTTTGTACACATACTTGTGCATTCCAGGCATTGATTTTACTTTGCTTTTCTTTAGGTTACTTAATATTCCTGCCTCTTCCAAGGAGCAGAGGGAGAGGAAGGCAGAGACATCCAAGAGTTAATAATAAAGTTGAGATAATGTCTTGACTACCTGGCCAGAGCACTCTCTGTCAGTGCCTGAGGCCATATCTGGAGACATGTGGTTATGTGCTCCAGATCAGCTGGGATCCCAGAAGAACTCTGTACCCTCAATGCTTTCTCCTTCTTTCCCAACTGGCAGTTGTTCTGCCTACAGTGAGCCATGCTAAAAGATGGCAGAACCACCCTTGAGCTAAAAAGGCACTTTGGAGTAAAGCTTGCAATCTTCTCTGACAGATTCTCTCAAAATCTGCTCTAAGCTACACTAAGAAAACTCCAAGGACTTCCTACTTCTCTCTTCAGAATGAACAAATCTTTTTTTTTTTTTTTCTCACAGGGAAGCATATAACTTCTCAAGGCTTCATAAGAGCCAAATGCCATCACGTCTCCTGTAGCTGAAAAAAAAACTTAAATTTCTCCTTGGAGAAATAAGCCTACTTGTGTTTTGTCTTTACTCTTCTTTTTCTTTTATCACAGGAAAATATGCTGAACAAAATAAAAGCACTTTAACAGTAACTAGGAGGATGAAGATTGTACCAAATCTGTCTAAAATACTGCCAACACGATGTTCTGTGTAAGCACAGCAATGATAAAACATCTATTTCCTCTAAAAATAAGTGGAAATGATGTTCACATATATTTTTTTACTTCCTTCAGTATAAATTGACCATAACTGGGATTCAAAAGATAGAAATAAATAAATTGAAAATAGAAAAAAACAATTGAAAATAGAAAAATTAGTAGAAAAAAATTAAATATGGCACATCAGCCTCAGCAATTTCTCTTTAACAATGGAAGCTACCCCACCAAAGCATTCTGATTCTCAAAACATAGCATAAATGGCTCTCTGACCTAGCCACAATTATGGAGAGAAAGATTAAAACTGAAATGAAAAGGGTTTCTCCAGAACAGGCAACACTAATTAATGGGCAGTTGAAGAGCCCCTAAAATAAAATACCAGGTGAGTTAGCTTTTGACTCAAAAGATGGCAGCAGTGAAACTGCTGGTGGATTGGTGGGACTAGGAATTGCTCTTACAAGAAAGGAGCCCTATTGTACCTATGGAGACTGTGGCCAGCAATAGAAGGCTCTTGCTGTCAACAGCTAGCTTCTGTGGCTAGAAAGGGTAAGACCTGTATTTTTCTCTCTTCTGCTGCTCTTTGGACCCTTTGTTTCTAATGAACAGTTGGTATTAGAACTGAATCCAAAGGCTATTACACATGGGACTTCCTAGTGCAGAGGCCTGGCAGAGCTAAACTGAATCTGGCCAAAAAACTGAACAGAAATTAAACTACCTCAAAATATAACAACTGAGCATCCTCATTCTCTTCCCCTGTTTTCATTTAGTTGTAGCAAATGTTTTGCTTTAAATGCAATTGAAAAGGAAAAGAACATTTAGGGACAACATAGCTAGATTCCTCACAAAGCTTTGCTTTTCAAAAGCAGCGCTTGAAGCTCTAAATAAATGACAATTCATTTTCTGTTTACTTTAGGTAAACAGAAAATGCATTGCGGAGCACTCATTTTCAAAAGCTAATCAAGAACATTAGGTCCCAACAGATTCATTTAATAGAAATATAATAGGCATTCCTACTCGCTTTTCATCTTGTCTCGCTGTAAATGCTAAAATGAACAGCAAATTAACCCTGAGTTGGAACCGAGTTTGTGTCACAGCTGATGCCCTCTTTCTCACGATTCGTAAACAGCCCCCCATTCTGTCACTGCTTTGACTCCTTATGCAGAGTAGAGACGACCAGGCTTGGCAAGGGACTCGAGCAATACTTGAACTCTAAAGGGAGTACTGCGTGTCAAGTCTGCTATCTTTTCTAGCAGAACAAAATATTACAACAGTTGTCTCCTACAATAGTGCACAATTAGGATGTAGGAGGAGGGGTGGGGTGAGGTTTTTGTTGTTTGTTTGTTTTCCCAAAGCTACATATATCAAGTGTCTTTATATTTTTAACTTTACTAGCCATTCTCCAAGGGGCTTCTTATAAACTACTATACAAAACAAGCTGATAAATACAGGGCCATTCAAGCTCTATCATCAGAAAAGATTTGCAAACAGTTTGAGACCTTATAATTAATAGTTAGTGATATCAAAATTAGCATTTAGAACTCTATACAGGAAAAACTACAATATTTCATAAATTATGTTATCACGAACAAACCCTTTCAAAAACTGTTTTCACTGTGCTAAAGTAACATTCTAGACTTGTTGTAAGTATATTATTCTTACAAGTAGTTCGCAGTTATTCTTGAAGGCAAGCCTTGGAGTTTCCTTAGCATAGTGCTGCTGGGGAAAATTTTCAGCATGTCCATCTTCATCTCTAGCCTGAAGGGAAATATAATGGCCTATTTAGGGACTTACAAATAATGGAAGAAGAAAAAAAAAAGCTAAAAGCATAACAGCTCAGATCATTAAACAAACGGGAATCCAGAAATAACAACATCATTAAGAAGTTTGTTTAAATACGCAGTACGCCTTTTAGATATCAAAATTTGGGATTTGTTTTTCTTTACGTTGTTTAGTCTTAACGTGCAAATTCACTTGTGGGGTAATATTTAAAATAGCATAAAGCAAACCCAAATCAACTAATTTTGTTGGAAATTACCACCACTTTACTCTTCCAGTGCACAACACACTGTTCATTGCACATTTAAGATTATATGACATACATACGTGTTTAAACTTTTTTTGGCATGCTTAAGCAATCTCTAGATAATGCACTTTTAAGAAATTCTAATAGCAAGGCCATAAGAAAAGCAATTTGCATCATTATATCTTGCATTGTAATACTATTAGAGATAAACTGATTCCTCTCAATTTTTAAACAAAGATCTGAAAGGAGCGATGATCTAGTAAGAACAATGATTCTTCAATCAAATGCAGTAAAAACTAGATTTAATTAAGAAGCTGCATTAAAGTTACTGGTTATTTTGATCTGCACTGTTAATTAAGAAAGCTGAAGTTTAAATGGAGACATTAACAGAACCCATTAGCAATACCACTGGCATACAGTCTTCTCTTTCTAATCTCCATCCATTTCTGGTTTGGAGTTGGCATGCAGGCAGAGGTAGGTAGAAGGGGCGTGTCTGCAGCACACTCATTAGACCATTCATTAGAGTGACACTTGCACTCTGGCTCTGCTCTCATCTCTTCTTAGTCCTAACTGCTCTCTCTCTCTCTCTCTCTCTTTCCTGGCCTCCTGAAATTCACAGCTGAGCTGTCTCCCTCACATATGGCTTGCATATAATTATGCATATTCCATTTTGCACTGCATTAAAATGATGAGCTCCTGGCTCCCTGCCAGCTGATTTTTAAAAGCCCCAGTGAAGTTGGAAAAAGGAGAGAAACACAGGGAGAGCCGCACAGGAAGCAGCAGGTAGTTCTGTCTGCTGTCTCTTTAGATAAAATGTATGTCTGGCACCAAGGGAACAGCTGAGAACTACCTGTTGTGATGTATGGGCTGAGGGGGCGAAAGACAATGCGCATAGTCGGTGGCATACGGATGACAATGCTTATGGGTTGTTTTCCTTCTGCCCTGCTGAGTGGCACTCAGATGTCCCCAGCCACCCATGGAATGTCATTTTAGAGAGGCATAGATGTTTTGCACACATGAGAATGAATCGCTTATTTTTAATAAAGGTCTCTGCTACTTATTGCAGGGAGGAAGCTGGATGGAATTTGGTTGTGGAATGTCATAGGCAGTAATAGTTGAATTTGTGGGGGGAAAGAGATCATTCTGCCTTCATTTCAGTTTTGAGATTTTTGAACATCTCTGGGACTTGGTGCCTTTTTATTGTACCCTTTTCCCTGATCAAATCAGAGTAAAATAAAAATGACATTACAGGATTGGCAATGTATGACGGGGGGAAAAGTGAGTGTTGTGCATGTCCGGTGGCTGTCAAGATGACTGAAACCAGCAATGGTTTTTCTCAGTGCTCCAGAACTACTCTTTAGTTACTTTTTTTTTTTTTTTTGTCAGTCGTGTGGCTTGAACTCTGGGTTTAGGTGCTGTCCTTGTACTCTTCAGCTCAAGGCGAGCACTCTACCACTTGAGCCACAGTGCCACTTCTGGTTTTCTAGTGATTTATTGGAGATAAGATTCTCAGGGACTTTCCTGCCTGGGCTGGCTTTGAACCTCAATCCTCAGATCTCAGCCTCCTGAATAGCTAGGATTACAGGTGTGAGCCACTGGCGCCCGGCTTCTGCAGTTACTTTTGAGTGCAGGACCACATAGTTCGAAGAAGACCCATTTTAAACCCTAGCTGGTGGAGGGATCAGTGGAGTGTAGAAACAAAAGGAGATTTAAAGAAAGCTGTAAGCTACATGTAAATGGAGTGTACAATATTAGATTCTTCTTAACAAAAACTTCAAGCCACTGTGAGAAGTCTAGGTCTTTTAAAAGAAGGGATTCTATCTATTTCCTCATTCAAATTCTACCACGTCCATCCTGTGATTTACTTTTAGCTGACACTTTACGAACATTTAAGTGAAGGGGAAAAAAATGTCAGGATAGTACATAGATCCTGCCATAAACAATTCTATAGAAAAATGCCACCTCAAAATATGTTAAATTCCATTTATGTTTTTGGTTGGTCATGGAGCCATGAACTCTGGGCATGGGCACTGTCCTTCAGCTCTTCAGCTCAAGGCGAGTGATCTACCACTTGAGCCACAGTGCCACTTCCAGTTTTCTGGTGGTTAATTGAGATAAGTCTCATGGACTTTCCTGCTCGGGCTGGCTTTGAACCACAATTCTCAGATCTCAGCCGCCTTAGTAGCTAGGATTACATGCGTGAGCCACCCGTGCCCGGAAAATATGTTAAATTCTGTGGTAGGTTTATTATATTCCTGATGAACCATGATACATATGCTTGTAAGACCGATTTGCATATAGTTTACAAGGGCTACTATTTACATATGTATGCCTATATTCAATATATATATGTGTATCTTGTGTATAAATATTCATAAGGTAGAATATGTTTATTATGCATGTTCTATGTATACACATTCATACACACCAGATGCCTAAGGCTATTTTCAACATTAGTTGCAAAAATACATTTATTCTGCTTACATGTTAAGGTGCTCACAATGCTTTTCATGCATTTAAAGCACAAAAATATCCCATTATCTAAGATTTGAATGTGCTTTATAAGTTTCATATAAAGCCTCATAATTTCTGAGGTTATATTAAGCAGCAGTGGAAAAGAAAGGAGAGGAGGACTGGAGGAGACTAGAAAGTAAAGAGAGGAAGCCAGAAACTTGCTTCTTTTCTGAGCTGTTATGTTCACATCTGCATCAAACTCTCATTGCCCTGGGCCCTTTGACACCTAAACTGACTCCAGAGTCCAAGAAATTATCTCTTCTCACTGTTGTCTGTTCCCGTCAATGGCACAGAAATGGAAAGTACACAAAGTTCAAGGAGCTCAGACCATTGCTGACACACATCTGACCAATGTAACCCATTTTTTGTTCTGAAGTTTTATAATGTAAAATTTTGAATCGCTATTTTAGAACTAAGTGTATATACTGAAGTATTCATCTGAGGCAATAATTCCCTATCGTGGCTACATATTAGAATCATGTGCGATGTTTTCTCTTTTAACCTATTGGTCCCCTACCTTCCAGGATTCTGATTTAATTGGTACAGAGTGTGGTCTGGACATGAGTATTTTTGTGCTTAAGAAAAAAAAAAAATCCCAGGTGATTGCAATGGACACACAGGGCTGGGAACCACTGATGTAAGGAGAGAATCCGCAGGTATCGATAGAACGAATACTGGACAGAACTACTGTTGTGCTAGGAGGACTTGGATTTGACCCCCAAGGTGGCTCTTATCCTAAAGATTCAAGACCTCATCTGACCAGCTGCAATATTTCTCATTATCTTTCTCTTTGTTTCTTAGTGTGTGGTATGACAAAGACTTGAGGAAAGGCCTTCAAAAAGGCCTTCTTGAATCTTTCTAATTAAAACCAGCATGTCCCTTCTGCTCTCTCTTGACTTGTCACTGTTGCAGTGCTGCAGCCATTGGTGTCATTTCTCTCTTGCCCCAAGCTGCAAGCTCAGGGAGGACAGAGCTGGTTATAGTTCCCACCATTGTCTCTAACCAGTGCTTGTGCCTAGTGAGTATCCTTAAAGAAAGAGCTCTAGCATCAGTCCACAGCTACTTTACGGAAGCTCAGAGAGGAATGAGTAACAGCTGCCTTCAGTGTGTTGGAAACAACTTTGTGTCTGTCAATGTCTGTCCTTCAGCGAAGAGACGGGTAGGAGCTCTGCCCAGCACCAGGTGCCTGAGGGCAATGTTATACAGAACCTATACAAATCTCCTTATCTTTTAATCATTTTGGAATGTTTTATAACCTCTTATATATTGAGGACAGTGGCTTATTCTACATCTTCCTCATTTGGGGTGCCAGACAATGACTTAATGGGGAGAAGAGGGGTTACACAGAGAGAGCCAATTCCCCCTGAAGGGCAGGGGATGTGCACACTGAAACTGTTTAGAATCACTGGCTCATGATAATAACATAAGGCAGACTAACTTTTAGCCAGTTTTATGATTGTTTCTTAAATTCACTCCAGACTATGCATTCTTTAATTGCTTGCCTAAAGTAGACCACCCTACTGGTGGCTCTTGGCACCCAATGGAGCCGGGAGAACTGTATTAATGTCTGACTTTGTTCTGGGGAGTGACAAGTTTTGAAAGAAGGAATCTCAAGACACTTCATCATGAACTAAGTCTCTCCATGTGTCCTATTCACAACAGCTTTATCCCAACGAATGTGCTAGATATTTACACTACTACTGGGAAATGCAAATAGAAGGCATTCTTTGTGCATTTTACAACAAATATATAATGACAAATGTGAGTGTCAGGCCAAGGTACTTTTGTCATCTGTTGTTCTAAGAAAATTTCACTTTTTGCCATGACAGGAAAAAAAAAATCCATCACTGAAACTACAAGGGAATTTCCCATCTTTGTTGACAATCATGCATGTTTGCTTGCTTTTGTTTTTGTTTTTGTTTTGAGACAGCATCTTGCTATATAACCCAGGTTTGTCTTTACCTTCTACCTCTTGAATGTTGGGGTTACAGGTGTGAGTCACTATACCAAGTTGCATGCATCAATTTTCATGCCATGTCTAGCTTTAATGTAAATATTAGGTTACATTAATAATTTAGGCTAATTGTCTATTTCAAAACCTCTGTCTCTAACTTTATAGTTACTTCTTTGCCTATGAATCAATACTTCTTTTTTTTACAATAAACTTCAATTCTTTGAAAAATCTACTTCTTCCTTTGGCCCAATGTACACACTGGGG